CCAGACTGGACAAACCAAACACTGCCGGAAGAGCCTTTCAAAAATTTTGCGGCCACCATAGTTTCTCCTACACATTTCACAGCATGTTCTCATTCACTGGCGAGCAGTGTTTAGTTAGTTGCAATTTGTATTTGTAATATATGATAATAATAATCTTGGTACAGATCCTGTAGATCTGTTTGTTATTATGGCTAAGATGCAAACTAAACACAACATTTTACATTGTAAAAATCTATTTATCAGTACTCTCTGGTGGAACTATGTAATGGTGACACTTTCTAAATTCTCAAACTTTGGCATTTCTGTACTGCAATTTCTTATTACTTGTAAGCCAACAGACAATATATACCGATATATCTGCAATAAGATAATATCGGCCGCACGTGGGCCTGGCCAGTTAATAGTACCCTATATAGTCTGCATAGAACTCCCTGTATAGTATGTAGTGAATACTGAATAGTGAATGTATGAATGTTTTCAGACAGAGCCCAGGTGCAATCTGTGAGATGTGTCTCTGGCTTCCTCATACCTCATTTGAGATGCGCCGATGGTGGTTGTTCCTCATACGGACCCTGACTGGACTTTGGACCTCATCAGAAGATGTCCCAGATGCCTGGTCGCTCTCCCCATCTGAACCCATCTTCACGTTCTCATGGACGATACCTACAAGAGACACAAACACACTGTTATTGTCAGGAATTACACTGTGCTTTCATTTAGCTCAGGTCTTTTTGGAATGCTTTTTTGTTTTGTTTTATAGCACTATGCTGTCACTCTCTTCTCCTCCTCTATCACTCTCTCCTTGTACCCATCAGAGGACACAACCTTTTGTCTTAGATTTCATTCACCTTCTGACAAAGGCATAGTGGGGCTCCAATCCCCATATGAAGGATTGTACCACCAGCAATGCAGGGGTGTTAGTCGAGTGTGTATAAAATTCCAGTGGTAAGATGAGGAGGTCAGAGATCGATATCACCCACCATGCAATGGGAGCTTTCCCGTCTTTGCCTGCCACCCCCACACCTCCTTTCCCCCCACACTCCATCTGATTAATGAGTCACGGTGCAGCAGACAGGACTGCCTCCTTCAATGGTGTGTGAGTAAATGTGGGGGGAAGGGGTCTGTCTTTGAGTTTCAGTGTATGGTGCCTGATAGCTCTCAAGTCTGGGTCATGTACAGCACATACTGTCTGTGTGTGCGTGTTTGTCTTGTGTATGGTAGCAGAAACTGCGTAACAAGAGGGATTGAGAGATGACTCCTAACACTGGTAACATCTTACCTTACCATCATCTGATGTTTACATACAACAGCCACCATAAGCAAAGGGGTGACAAATAGAGGGAAGATTGGTAGAGAGAAGAAGCGGAAAGAAAAATGAGTCCCTTGAGTGATTGTGATACGTCAGCCGTGAGGTACAGAACATTAAAAGCCGGGTAGGTAAAGCTATTTATTATAGTGTCTGTCAGCTGTGGAGTGGGGCAACACCACCTGAGGCTGATTCTAGGTCATTTGAGTGTGTCTCTTTCATGTAGTCAAGGTTAGGATTCGAGGAAGGCAAGCTGGTCTACAGACTCTGCCTTAGGGCTAAAAAAAGGGAAAAGATGGGATATGGGCTGCAAAAAGCTTGATACAATATTCATTTATGGACCCAGTAAGTAGTAATTAATTAAAAAGTAAGTCATTATTAAATAATCACATAAATTGTATAACATAAATAAATAAAAACATATTATCAACTCATTTTTATAGTATGACATTGCTATCTTTATTGACAATAATCTGAATACTTCTTCCACCACCGGAAATAAGAGTTTCCCAGCACATTCAAGTGCATATTCCATGAGACCCTTGTTCCAAGTGTGAGCGTGTTAAATCCAATGTATTTTTGATTTTTTTAAAAACTGTGGGAGTATAGTTTTAAAAGATGGCAGAGGACAATCCAGCTGTAATAATTTTGAGACATATGCTACCCCTACTAGTGTTTTGGCCATTTTTTTTCAGAAATAAATTTTCCCCTTAATAACACTTTTATTTCTTGCCATTTTTAAAAATGTCATGTTACTTTTAATGTTGTCACAGTCATCTTACCTTTCAGCTAATCACATGCCTCTTAAGCTAGCAAGCTCAACAACTGCCACCAGATTTAGCCAGTTAGCACATGGTAGCTAGAGCAGCAACCAATTATATATTGTCAATGGCAGCTACAATGTTCTACATGTTCTGTTCAAGTAATTCTGAATAAATTATCTAGCTGACATACAACTCCTTCTGTGTATTTAGCTTAACCTGGCTGCTACCTAACTAACTGGCTAGCTACAGTAGAAGCTCCTTTCACTTCTCAGCCTCAAATTGAAGTGTATATTTTAACGCTTGTTGGTTAATTGTTGGTTAATTTATACATTTTGTAAAGTTTATTCATATGTTAAGTTGTTTCATAATGTGTTTTTTGCTGATATAGTATTGAGCACTTTGGGGTTCCATATGCATTGACCCGAACATATTTTTCACACATGTATAGTATACAGTACTCTCACTCTCTGACTGGGTACTTTCTCAAACAATGAAAAGCTATTGTTGCCCTATTTAACTTAAACCTTCCATAAACCTTTCAATAATCAATGAAAGCTATTTATACAATCTAATCTGGTGTTTAATGGTTTTCGTTCAGAAGCCAACATTACATATGAACTGCATCACAGGTTTTCTTACTGCCACAAACAGTCAACTACCTGTGTAGATCCCAGCTGCTAATATCAACCTACATCTGTCCATTAGTCTAACTAGCTGTTGACAAAAGCAGCATATGCTCATTAGCAGAACACAACCCAAACACAATCCATCTGTGTAAATGCTTAGTAAACTTCTTCGTAGTCTTTTAAAACTCCAAGTCTGCCTGTGGTCTCAAAGCCAGACACAAGAGTACAGGCTATGCATAGAAAATAGTTTAAAAGAAGAAAACCAAGCAGTCGGTAGTCATATCAGGAATCAACCCTCACAACCCTGAGGTGAAACATTAAACTCAAGGTAATGTGACACCAGAGTGAGAGAAAATTGATCCAGGATATCTACGTACTGTCAGACACACACACATGACCACACATTCACGACAAGTGAGTATCCAGTACTGCTGTTATGTCACAGGTCTTTCTCACTTTCAGAGAGGTGCTGATCTCGTCTGTTTGTGTAAACAGTCAGATAGATGTGGGTGCATTAGACAAGATGACTGACCTGGGAGGAAAATTCCATAAACCTGAGCCTTGAAACAATCTGATACAAAGATGTTCTTCTAACACATACAAGTACGTGCATTTATTTCTCATTCACCAGCTTCCCCAACACACTTTCTCTACTCAAGATAAACACACTCACACACTAATCACACAGGACATTCTTTTCCAGTATCCTGCAGGTTCTTTCTGCTCCATTTCCATAGCAGACTAAGAGCAGACAGTAAATGTCATGAGCTACCACTGCCTCACTGTGTGGAGCCAGGCTGGCCTAGTTAGGGTTGCTGACTCCCTGCTAGCACGTCTGGAAGAGTGAGTGGACTGCTTTTAGGACCATCCTTACCTCACCCAACTGTGTATGTACTCCACTTAGCTGGAAATCCATCTCTGCTACATGTTGGCAGTGCCGCAGAATAGGATTGAAACGCCAGTGGAACCGATGTTAAAAGAAGTAAAGTAAGTGTAAGATTCACTTCAAGAGGCCTTCAAAGAGTAATGGAAATGCTGGGATTTTTTTTGTCATAAGCCCTCACTCGGCAAGGCGAGCCATGGAGTTCAGTGGGGTTACTCAAGGGTGTACTTGTAGAATTAATAGTCACTGTCCACATCCAATGCATTACCCACTATTATTACTAGGCTTTGAACTGAAACATTTTACTTCTTCTTTTTGCTCTTGGGCCTAGAGTTCTCAAAACAGTTTTTAAGTAAAGCATACTGTCTGAGTCTGGCATGAACGGCAGGAATAGAGATACTGCAGTCATCATGCTGATAAGCAAATTAATAAAAAAAATGAAAAAGAACTCGAAGGTCACTTCTCTTCACTTCTCTAAAGAGTCAGTTGGATCCCTGAAGATACCCACACACAGTGCCCTGAGCCAACCCACTGCATCTCTAATCTTTAAACCAGCTGCATAAAGGACGTAATATTTTTAAATGATTACGTTTAAGATCTCCAAAGTTGTAGGATCAGCAGATTCTGAGAGAAAACTACTTAACATAAATCCATGTCTTCGTATCTAATAAAACCTCAGGACACACTTAATTTATGTCCCACAGAGAGAAATCAGTATACAGACATATTGCATGTGTTAATGCAAGAGGAGTACATCTATTTACAGTATCATCTACTGAACAACATTTACCTCTAAAAGACTCACACATATTGTTATAAAAAATTCTGTCATCTGTCATCAGTATAGCACTGAAACTCAAACTAGACCTGATGAAATGGAGGATCAGGATGCAGATGAACTTGATGATGGAGATGACAGTGATGAGACTCACCGATACGGTTTCCTGGAGGACGGCAAGAGTCCAGCACTCGAAGCATACGGAAAGGTGACAGCCTCAGTGGGGCGTCTCTCTCCCCCATTCTCATCCCCTCAGCTACTCTAGCCTCCCCCATCTTTGAGTCTCCCACACTGGGAGGACGAGCAGAGCACCCTTGGGGGTTGCCTGACGTATCCATTGTTCCAGAGGATTCAAAGCACTACAGTTGAAAGTGTGACTAAAAATTCAAAAATACATTTTACAAAAACACAAAATAAAAAGACGGGCCTTGTTGAGAAGTTGAAACCACTTCAGTCCAGTCTTAGTGTCCTGTCAACAGTAGGTGGGACCCAGGTTTCCGGAGTTGTAGCTTATTGAGCGTCAAAGCTTGCTGGGCAAAATCCTATCTTCAGGCTGTCTCTGTATGTCCAGGAGAGAGTCCCATGCAGTAGAGAACAGGACTTACATTGGGAGGACAGCGCAGACTGCACAGGCACACTAATCACAATGCAACAACTCCCTCGGCTACTACTCCACTTTAACTCTCTCTCTCTCTCTCT